CAAAAGGGTCCTATCTTGTCAGCCTTGTCAGTTTCAGTTCTCCAGTAAACTTGTGATTATCAACACTAACCTCATCGTTGTGGCGGCGGACAGCTAGCCTGTATCCCTCATCCAGTTGAGTGGGAATGTTCACTCTCCCCAAAGCAGACAATCTCAAACAGCTATCCATGTGGGTCTTTGACAGCTCATGTTTCTTAATCTTTCCTGAAAGATGGTGCATGTCCGTTACACACCAGTCGCTGTCCAAGCGGTGCTGTCTGCCGTGCCGCCTTCAGGGTGAAAGAGTAAGCAGGGGGTAGCAGAAGACTGCATTAGCTACATCGCAGCCTGCTAGCCAGGTTTTTCGTTCGTACCAATTTTTGGAAAATCCTCGGGTGTAGGACTTCCCCCCTTTAGTAGAAACCTGTTGAATTATTAAATTTGGTCTGGGAGGTCCTAATTGTTTCGTTGCCAATTTATCTTGATTTGTTCGCCGACAAAAAGTAACTTATTTCAAAGAGACAATCGAGTTGCACTGAACGCTATAGCCATCTTGATAGTAGTACATGAATTGATTGATGAGGCTACCCGCTCTTTTCTTAGTTACGTTCATGGTTACGTTACGTATGACGAAAGCGCGTAAGTGCAAGCCCTCAGAAACCCATAGAGATTGTATTGAAAGCTCTGATATTTGAAAAAAATAGATTTTACATGGGAGTCTATGACAGACTTCTGGGCGATTTTCAACCTGACTGAAATCGCCCCAAAAGGGGGGGGGGGGGGGGGCATTTGAAGCACGACTTTAGCCTGATTGGACATTTAGTGGCACTGTGGCAGATCAGACGTCTAGATTACAACACTGATAACTACTGTTGCCGTGATATAATTGATTAGAAAAAAAATCCCTTCCTTTTCCCGTTTGGCAGTGCGTCGCCCATATCGCCCTATTGAACACACCGCCCCTGGTTGGAAGTGATCCTCTGTATCTAGAGAGTCTAGATCAGGGGTGTCAAAGTCATTCCACAGAGGGCCGACTGTCTGCAGGTTTTTGGTTTATCCTTTCAATTACGACCTAGACAACCAGGTGAGGGGTTATCAATCAAGTACAAGAGTGGAGCGAAAACCCACAGACACTCAACCGTCTGTGGAATGAGTTTGACATGTGGTCTAGATCAGTGGCGGCTCCTGAAAAAATTCTCAGGAGGGGCAATTTTTCTGATGATTTAGGTGACCTACACACATTTTTAAAAAGATATGTCCAGCAACAACATGAAGACAGGGGCAGCATATAAGTCAATACCAGAAGCATTTATTGACTGATCTCAAAAGTGTTGGCTTACAAAAGCAAAATAAGTTATCACAGTAAAAATAATCAAGGGTGTTCTTTCACATTCCTCAACACTGCATAAACAATATGTATGGCTTTGTAAAAATGAACAACCATATTCTGGCCAATTGTATAGATTTGTAAATATGAACAACCATATTCTGGCCAATTGTATAGATTTGTAAAAATGAACATGAACAGATTTTTTTATTTTTTTATTCCTCTTTTTAGTCAGCTTTAGAATGTGTTCATACACTTATGAGCACCACTGTACAGTACACATAGTATATAAAATAAGATAGATTACACCACTGGCCATATATAATGACAATAATGTAATTTCAAACACAAATGCAGTCTCCTTTCATGCATACATTTTCAAATAAAGCTCTGCTTTGAGAAAGATCGAATGATATTGTTTAATCTTTATCTTACCTTATGGCCTGCACACTGCTTGCGAAGCTGTCGAGGGCACGTTTGATAAAGACAGCATCGATGTCCTTATTCTGTAGCTTCTGGTACGGTGGGCTGGTCAAATGAACCCAATGAACCCGTCCGGATGGCTTCAAAACATTCTATGAGGTCGTCTCGATTCTCGTAGACAGTGTTCACGACTCTGCTGTTGCTAACCTCATCGTTGTGGCGGCGGACAGCTAGCCTGTATCCCTCATCCAGTTGAGTGGCAATATTCACTCTCACCAAAGCAGACAATCTCAAACAGCTATCAATGTGGGTCTTTGACAGCTCATTTTTCTTAATCTTTTCTGAAAGATGGTGCATGTCGGTTACACCAGTCGCTGTCCAAGCGTTGCTGTCTGCCGTTCATGGTTACGTTACGTTACGTATGACGAAAGCGCGTAAGTGCAAGCCCTCAGACACCCATAGAGAATGTATTGAAAGCTCAGAAATTTGAAAAAAAAATATTTTACATTAGAGGCTATGAGAGACTTCTGGGCGATTTTCAACCTGACTGAAATCGCCCCAAAACGGGCGGGGACATTTGAAGCACGACTTTAGCCTGATTGGACATTTAGTGGCTGGCAGATCAGACGTGAACACTGAACTACTGTTGCCATGATATAATTGATTAGAAAAAAAATCCCTTCCTTTTCCCGTTTGGCAGTGCGTCGCCCATATCGCCCTATTGAACACACCGCCCATGGTCTAGATAGGGAAAGTTTAGCCTCCCTGTATGTGATTAATAACACTAGCCTACTAAGCTCACTTTGCTGTAACCACCGGGTATACAAATATTAATCAAAAGACATCAACTGGTTCAGATTGAGCTTGTCGGGTCACTGTGTTATTGGTCACAACACAAGGTGTGTATACACCTAGTCATCCCACAGTCTACTTGCATTTTACAACTGGCCTATGTATTGTAGCCCTGCAAAGCTGCCTGATGCCACAAGTTTACATTAAACGCTGCACGGATTTAATGTAAGCTCGCGGGATCAGGTGGCTTTGTGAGGCTATATGTATTGAGTAGCCCATGTATGAATTTCTTCAAAAAAGAAATTGACTCAACAACCAAAAACACATATCTAAGTTTAGCTTTATTAATGAACCAGAAAATCAATAGTTATTTCTGGTTGTTTATCAAAGTTAGCTGGCTAACTCATTGATCGTGCTTTGTAGTATATCCCATCTGGTCTGTTGTTGGAAGTTTTCCTGTGTTCTCCTCTGGGTTTGTGCATGGGATGCTGCTCGAGAGAGAGGGGGAGTATATCTGTGAGTGCACTGAGTGTACTGTGTAGGTGGTCTCCTCCAAGAGGTCTCGACCTTTATGGCATAAGTGGCGGTGTACTTGCCCAAGTTGCCCTGTAAGACAGTAAGTAGAAGAAGAGGCCAGGTAGTGTCTGGTGGGATCTGAACCACTACACCTGCACAGAGGCCTGCCCCACCCACCAACAAACAGTCACCGCTGTGTCTGAAGTGGTTCGCCTAGGTCTAAAAGTCTAACTAGCCTTTTTCCTTACTTCATTGTCTTATTTGTAAACCTACAATAATTCATGAATTTGATCTACAATTAAGTTATTGTAGGCTGAATCACTGTATTCTTCATTTAGAACATAGCTTAACTTTTGTTCTATGTAGGCTCGTTTATAAAGTACATTATATTTGTAACGTAAGTGCAAGGTGTTGCTGGAAGCAAAGAGAAGTGAGGAACGAAAGAGAGACAGAGAAAATGAAGTTCCTACACAAATGTGGATACATTTATAACACTGTAGTTATTTTAAATATATTTTGCTGGTCATAGGAGGGCTTTAAAACTAATCATAAACATTGGTAGAGATTGAGACTTGTGGAGCGAGCACTAGCAGCACCCCTTACAAAAATGATTGCAGTTTAGAAACTGCAGTAAAAGCGCATTAATTGCAGCCAACTGTGGTATTTTGGACTCAGTAATTGCAGAATAACTGCAAAAAAATACGGTGTTATTTTGGACGTAGTATTTGAAGCATACTGCAGTTATACTGCACTCTAACTACAGTTATACTACAGTGTACTGCGGTTATACTGCACTCAGCAATTTTGTTTCGTAAGGGGCGTGGGTTACAGAGAAGCAATCCTCCCGAACACAAACAAGTGACTGAAAACAACCCGTTGGACCTGCCGAGAGTCTGGACAGATCGACAGAGAACGGACGAATGACACAGGAAAAACTGTAGAAACACCGTTTGGCATCTAATTATACTTTTCATTACAACATTATGAAACAAGTTAAAATGGTTGGAGATCAAAGACGCTAGCTATATTTTGAACGTAGTTTTTCACGTAAAACGTAAGTGCAATGTGTTGCCTACGCTGCAACGTAAGTGCGCGAAGCAGCAAGCGCAGTGGAATCTCCTGGAAACAAAGCGGGGAACAAGAGAGAGAAAGGAAGTTCCTACACAAATCTGGATTCATTTATAACACTGTAGTTGTTTTGAAGAGATTTTGCTAGTCATAAGAGGGTTTTAAAACTAATCATAAACGTTGGTAGAGTTTGAGACTCGTGGAGCAGCTAGCGAGCGCTCACACAAACAAACAAATGTCAAAACAACCCGCTGGACCTGCCGACTCTATACAGATCGACAGCGAACGGACGAATGACACAGGAAAAACAATCACCGTTTGTCATCTAATTATACTTTTTATAACATTATGAAACAAGTTAAAATGGTTGGATATCAAAGACGCTAGCTATATTTTGAACGTGGGGACAGAATATAATTTGTAAACGGCACCACGAATATAATTTGTAAACGGCACCACCTAACCTTCCCCAGGATAAAACAATAACAGATGCGCAGATCGAGGAATATGCGGCGATAAAACATTTGGTGTGTCATAAAACGGTATAGAAATATTTTAGTCTCTACCAAAAGTAGCTTCTTCGTTATCTACAGAACTGTCAACAGAGCCAGCAGCAGTTTTGTGGCTTTGTTTACCTCGCTAGCTAACGTTAGCTAGTTAATGCTCTACTTGTTTAGAGCAGGCTGCACCGTTAGATGGATAGCTAGCTAGCCACCTACCAACAAGACGTGGTGGGTAATGCTTGCATCCCATTTATATGACAACCAGCTGTTGCTTGTTGGGACGAGCAATTTGAATTGGTTCTGTTTTATTTGACTGGCTGTTGAGAAAGCTGCCAAAGCGCGAGAGCAAACGGGGTCGTCCGGTTTTGACACTTCATTACTCTTGGGTCACCATGGCGCAGCAGCAGATGCCAAGCTCTCATAAGGCACTGATGCTTGAACTGAAGTCTCTCCAAGAGGAACCAGTGGAGGGTTTCCGCATCACCCCAGTAGAAGAGTCAGACTTGTACAACTGGGAGGTGGCCATATTTGGACCCCCCAACACACTTTACGAGGGGGGATACTTCAAGGTGAGGGAGAGTTTAGTCTGTCTTGTCTGTGGGCAGTACACCTGATCCCGGGCCTGTAGCTAACTCTAGTCTATGGTATAGACATAAAACAACACATAACACACTTTTGTTGTAATATTTATATGTAGACAATCAGTGTTTGACTGGCCAACGTGAGTGCTAGCCCTTAATCATGACTAACTATTACATTACACGTAAGAGTCATTGAAGGAAGGCGCCTTCTGTAGTGGGAAGTTTTGTTAAGAGCCCCGACGCTCGCTTGTGGTACGGTTTTGGAAACATAAGGACCTTGTATTTCAAATCGGCGAGAAATAAACTGAACAAAAATGTAAACGCAACAATTTAAAATATTTTACTGAATTAGTCAATTGAAATAAATTCATTAGGTCCCAATCTATGGATTTCTCATGAATGGGAATACAGATATGCATCTATTGGTCACAGATACTGTACCTTAAAAAAAAGGTAGGGGTGTGGATCAGACAACCAGTCAGTATCTGGTGTGACCACCATTTGCCTAATGCAGCGCAACACATCTGTTGTCCCAGTTCTTCAATGGCTGTATGAAGTTGCTGGATATTGGTGGGAAATGGAACATGCATGCTCAATGGGTGATGACATGTCTGGTGATTATGCAGGCCATGGAAGAACTGGGACATTTTCAGCTTCCGGGAATTGTGTACAGATCCTTGCGACATGGGGCCATGCATTGTCATGCTGAAACATGAGGTGATGACGGCGGATGAATGGCACGACAATGGGCCTCAGGATCTCGTCACGGTATGTCTGTGCATTAAAATGTGCCTTTCTGTTTTCCATGAGTTTGCCTACAACTCCAGCACCTGCGGAAAGTACCTGGATGTACGTATGTTCTTCAGCTTTTGTGCATTAAAATTGCCATCGATAAAATGCAATTGTGTTCATTGTCGGTAGCATATGCCTGCCCATACCATAACCCCACCGCCACCATGACATCAGCAAACTGCTCACCCACGACGCCATACACGTTGTCTGAGACGGAAGTCTGATCGAAACTGGGATTAATCTGTGAAGAGCACACTTCTCCAGCGTGCCAGTGGCCATCGAAGGTGAGCATTTGCCCACTGAAGTCAGTTATGACAGCGAACTGCAGTCAGGTCAAGACCCTGGTGAGGATGATGAGCACGCAGATGAGCTTCCCTAACACGGTTTCTGACAGTTTGTGAATAAATTATTAGGTTGTGCAAACCCACAGTTTCATCAGCTGTCTGGTGACTGGTCTCAGACGATCCCGCAGGTGACAAAGCCAGATATGGAGGACCTGGGCTGGCGTGGTCATAACATGATCTGCGGTTGTGAGGCCGGTTGGACGTACTGCCAAATTCTCTAAAATACCGTTGGAGGTGGCTCATGGTAGAGAAATTAACATTCAAAATTCAAAAGGCACTCGCACATCTGAGCTATCTTTTTTGCAGGTGCATGGTAACAGTTGAATAAGATGTGAAAAAATAAGAAACCTGCACACTACTCTTGCTAGTATCACTGCTCTTTAATACGCTTTAAGTATCGGCCTCAAGGCCTTTAAAAGCTCTGACGAAGGCTTTGAGGCCGATACGTAAAGCTTATTAAAGAGCAGTGATACTAGCAAGAGCAGTGTGCAGGTTTCTAATTTCTAAAATAAAATTCTCTGGCAACAGCACTGGTGGACATTCCTGCAGTCAGCATGCCAATTTCACGCTTCCTCAAAACTTGTGGCATTGTGTTGTGTGACGACAACTGCACATTCTAGAGTCCCCAGCACAAGGTGCACCTGTGTAATGATCATGCTGTTTAATCAGCTTCTTGATATGCCACACCTGTCAGGTGGATGGATTGTCTTGGCAAAGGAGAAATGCTCACTAACAGGGATGTAAACAAATTTGTGCAGAAAATGTGAGAGAAATAGTATAATTTTCAAAAAACAAAAGGTTAAATTGATACACCTTTTATAGGGTTAGGATTCTCACACAGCCATATGTCCATGTTACAGTGCTTGTTTACCGAAGACCGAGTGGACTACCTGTGCTAATTAGCTATCTGTGTTGCTGAACACCTGTGTGTAAACCACAATCTATGGTGTAAACGGAAGACAGATGCCACAAATGTGTTGTCACTGAAAAATACTGTCGGCTGCAACTGTGTTAAAACAATCTACAGTAAGTGTGTGATTTGCATTTGTGAAATAATTTTTATGTGATATGAAAGTAGAGGGATTTATGTTTCTAGAACCGTACCGCAAATGACAATCGATTCACATTTAGATGGAGTAGTTGGCTGTTTTGGCTTCCAGAGCCAATTCACCCTTTAAACAGAACATGGAAGGTCCTTGGACTAAGGAGTAACTTTAGGAACCTTTAGTCCATTATTGGGCTACGTGAGTTCATACCCCGGCCTAGAGAGCACTGTTTCACAAACTTGGCATACCACTTGTAGCAGTAATTTTTCAACTGAGTCATTACCTGTCACCCAGGCCAAAACCCACCATTTGGTTTCAACACACTATTTGTGAAATGTCAAAGTATTCCTTCCCTCACACATCACTGATTCTCTCTCATTCCCAGGCACACATTAAGTTTCCAGTTGACTACCCTTACTGTCCACCTACTTTCCGTTTCCTCACAAAGATGTGGCACCCCAACATATATGAGGTGAGGTATACCACATTGTATGTTTGTGTAAGTTAAGAACGGACCGTAACCTCACTCCACAGCTAGCTTGAAATGTCTCGGATAGAGACATCCAATTGGTACCTTTTGGGTGGCTCAACCCGTTGGAACATTGTCAAGGAGGGCGGTAACGTGTTGCGAAACAGGATTACTGGTTCGAGCCCAGTATGGAGCAGTCGGGACAGTGGAGGAAGCTAAGCTATTAGCAGCACACTGACCCCCGCTACATTTGTGTGTGTTTTTGTGACTTGGTTTTATGTGATTATAGGAATTTATGGCCAGTTGTTGCTATTGCTGTGGAGTGTAACATGTTGCTTGTCTACAGAATGGGGATGTGTGTATCTCCATCCTTCACCCGCCTGTTGACGACCCCCGGAGCGGAGAGCTGCCCTCTGAGAGATGGAACCCCACCCAGAATGTCAGGTAAAACACCTGGGCTGCGTTCAGGATGAAGGAAACCTAGCAAACATTTACGTGAACGGACATGGTACTGTTCTGAACGACCTGTTGAGGAACATTGTAATGATGGTGGCTCAGAGGGCGGTTGTGCGGTGTGATGCTGGACATCTCTTACCATTTCATCAAATACGCCACTCGTTGCTTCGGGTCACACTCAAAGGTCAGAGGTTTCATCCACAAAACTATAGCAGTTATATACCTCAGAGTAAAAAAATGGTGTGCAACGTTTCGGGAGAATGTGTCTTTCAGTACGTACCATTGTAAAATGTTTCATCAACTGAACGCACTCTTGACTCTCTTGACATTTGTATATGAACATGTCTGTGTGTTCAGGACCATCCTACTGAGTGTGATCTCTCTGCTGAATGAGCCCAACACCTTCTCCCCGGCCAATGTCGATGCCTCTGTTATGTTCCGCAAGTGGAGAGACAGCAAGGGCAAGGACAAAGATTACGCTGAGATCATCAGGTTCTTAGAATTCACTTTCTTTTAAACACAAAATGACAAACAACAACATGCTCATTTACACACATACAACTAAACATACAAATTCAGTGCGATCAATCACTTAATTTTTCTATCTGGAACCTTTCTCTCTTTCACTCTTCTGTCTGTCTCACATTGTATATACTGTCGGTTGTGCTCTCTCCCTCTCGTTATTTCTCTCTCGCTCTCCATCTTTCTCAGGAAGCAGATAGTGTCCACTAAAGTGGAGGCGGAGCGGGACGGCGTGAAGGTGCCTACTACGCTGGCGGAGTACTGCATCCAGACCAAAGTGCCTTCCCACGACAGCAGCTCGGACCTGCTCTACGATGACCTCTACGATGTTGACATCGAGGAGGAGGAGGACGATGATGCAGAGGCAGTGGGCCAGATGGCAGGAGAGGGTGGCTTCAATGACGAGGAAGACTCGGGCAACGAAGAGTCATGACCTTCCTTCTCCTCGCTGTTTATCTCGCTCCCTCCCAAACCCTTCCTACCGAGGACTCCGCTGCAGCCTCGTCCTGTCCATACTTTCTGATTCCTTCCCACGTGCGCACACATACTCTTTTGCTGGCTCCATCCCTTCTTGAAGGTGTCCCCTTAGCACTTACTTTACCTTGAGTTTTGTTTTAATCTCTGTCAAGCATGCCCATATGCTTCATTTTAACAGCTGTATGGGGGGCAGATTTATTTAATTGTTTTATTATGGCATTTTTTGTTTCCTAATTTATCTCCCCTCCCATTGACGTTCATTAGGCATAATTAGTGGGTTAGTTTATGCAGCTTTACTTGTGGTAAATTATATCACAAAGTGATATAAACCAGAACGGTTGTTTCTCTTTCAACTATTTGATGAGTCTGTATTAAACGGTTCAACAGAATTGCATGCTTTTTGATGACACCAATTTGGCATGTATGCTGTCTACCAGTGTTGCCAACCATCTTTTTTGTGGGAATTGCTATTGGCTGCTTGATTTGTCGCTAGATTACATTTTGCAGTTGTCGTGACAACTTCACGGCTCCAATTTGCGTTGCTGCAGTCCCCAACATTGCATTTTCGCCCCTTCTCCTGCCGCAAACCCCTTCCCCTTGTGCTTCTCTGCCTGTGTGTGCGCTGTTGCTGTGACGTCTGTTGCATAGGCAGCTTTTCCCACTCTTGTTTGCGGCATAATTGAGTGGGAAAAGTTGTTAAATGGTATAAAAATTCCCAAAGGCAGCCTGAAAAGTAGTTGAATTTGTCACTAGGTTCTATGAAAAGTAAAAGTCGCTGTGAGGGTCTGAACTCACTACATATAGCGACTTTCAGTTGGCAACACTGGTCTCTATCCCTCCCAGGGTTCACATACACATGCCTCCTACAAACTAATTCAAATTCCTTATAAATTGTGTAAAACCAAATCCTATTCAGATGTAAAACCACAATTTATATAAATTCTAATTTGTTCTTAAGCTGTGGAACAGAGTGGTAAGATGCACTCAATGAACATACCCATCTCTTACTCTGTCTCACACAGTCAACAAGATGAAGACCCTTTTGTAAAAAATATATTACAAATAACTCATTTTCTGTATTGCCCTGACAGGGATCTGAACACAAAAAGGACACTTATTTTGCAATTTTTGGTAGGTTCCCCATTTTTCTCTTTCAGTCATCCACTCAATCAAAGTTCGCTAACAGAAGGGAAGGGTTGGGCACTTACTACCAACATGCATCTCTTTGATTGAGTGGATGCATCTCAGCATGCATCTCTCCAACCAGAGACCACAGAGAAACAATCTCTGCTCCAACCTCTCCAAGGTTAAATGCACCTGGAACTGATGAAGGGACGCAGAGACAGGATGCTAAGACATACGCCTGATATCATTTGAGCTCTTGTCCTCAAACAGAAGATGCTTCCGAGTATTGGTACCGTACCAGCGCTGAATAATTTCCATGGAGACCGGACTGGTGATACAGAGTTGTTTCCGTGGAGACTGATTTGTAACTACCCTATCTTTCTTTGGGGGACTTGAACACCAGAGGTAAATAAGACAAGCGGAAAAAGAGATCCTCTCCCCCATCCCAATTCTAGTCACAGGCCCCTTGACCCCAGATAGGTAATCAATAAATAGAAAAGCATTCACTTTGGTAACAAGTGGCATGCTACATAACCATTATGCTCATTTATTAGATAATTAATTTCAAGGATAGTTTAGAGACTTGGGGCTCGATTCAACCAAACCCACAGGGCAGTATTCACGCAATAGCATTTAGGCCTAAACATAGTAGGTAAACAAATATATTGCGTAAACATTGCTAAATCAGGTTGTCTTGGATACGGCCCTTGGTGTCTTTCAGCTAATGTTACGTGTTTAAGTATAACATTCCCATTGTTTTTGTTTTCCTTGGTCTAACTTAACATGTGTCATGAATGTTTTCTAGTAATGAATGTTCACCGAAGATAAGAGGCTTTCCTTGGTGAGTGTAAGGCTTTATCTTTGGATTGTTTGTTGCACAAATAAATAGAGGGCACCGGAAATGTTGTCAAAGCTATTGCAAAGTGAGGTTTCTTTTGACCATTTAAGAATCCACTTGTTTGATATGAATTGTGGTTTCAAAGAAAAACTAAACGCATTTAAATGAAATGCCCCCCAAAAAGTGTACTGATGGTAAAATCGGTTGGTGCAAAGGCAACATAGTCTTAATCGCAGGTGTCTGCAGCATTGAGAGCCTCCCACTACTGATCTCCCTGTGTGGTATGGGGTGAGGTGAGGCTCTCAACCTTCTGGCTTCTGTCCTCTCTTCAAAGCCACATGGGCCTGAAAATAAATAAAGATATAAACAGTATCAACTGTATAACAGGGCAACAAGGTATAAGTATTATATGTACAGGCTTCTTATTTTTCCCTCGCAGAGCTCTCCAGAGTGATGAGCAGCATCCCCTTCCTTTTTGCTTGGCTGCAGATGCGATTCTAAATCGATCACTGGTAGAGGACACGTCTGTAGACGGTTTCAGGCTGATAGCATCAACTACATGGAGCATGGCCTTGCTACTCTGGGTTAAAACATCACCCACAAGGACCTGAAGTTGGAGGCTTTTGAGATGGAATTTTCAGCTACATTCGTGATCTTGGACTTGCCCTGTGGGTCGTCCATGTCTGTGGCATGTTCCACTGTGGGATGACTGCTGACCAGCTTCAGGTAGATGAAAATTACCTGTCTTGACTAGGTTAGCGGCATCGGTGGTCACACCATAGAAATAGAATGAATAGAAAGGGTGTCTCCATTCAAGTCAGTGATAGCATAATGGGTGGACTGGCATTCTATTTCTATGGGCCATACAGCCATCCAGGCTTGCACAATTTCAGCTGCTTTGAAGGTGGCCAGCATTCCTCGCTCCCAACACTTGGGGGATGACGAATGGAGCAGCTCACACTCATTGGGAAAGATGTAGGGGATTATGGTGATATTATTTATCAAGGTGCAGCTGCTACTACTCTTAAACCTTTGGATGCCATCTACCATATTGCCCTTCGTTTTGTTACAGGTGATAGTTTTCATAGCCGAGAGCTGTCACAAGCATTTGCATAGAGGTATTTCTCGCCAAGTAACTCTGCAAAGCTCTGAGCGAATGTACCGTATGTACATACAGTACATTCTGAGAAAATGATTTTAAGATGGAAATGAAAATGGGATAATGGTACAGGTTCAAAATGAAGTCTGTATGGATGGTTAAAGCTTTCATTCAAGCACAGCCGGTTTCATTTCAACAGTGGGACTTTCATTTGAAAGCTTTGTTATTTCGTTACTTGGGCGGGGTAATTCCATTTACAGTTTAGGGATGCGACACGTTTCAAATGAAAGTCCCACTATTTAAATAAGAGAGACAGTGTTTGAATGAAAGCCTCAAGATGTGAGATATACATTTTGATTTGAATAACTTAAATTCCAATTACATTTAGAGAGGTGTGTATTTCATTCAACTGTTAGGCTTTTCATGATTTGAATTGTGGTCATGATTTAACTTTTATTTGTTTGATTGAAAGCTGACCATTTGTTCATTTAAGAGACTATAGACTGCATTGTGTAGTTTGATTTAAATCGCTCTTTTTTTCATTCACATTTTTTGTGAGTTCCACCCCTCATAGACTAGTTCCTGTATATAATAATGATAAAATATATTTTGTTACAGGTACAGATACAATTAAAACATTGACGCAATGAGTTATAAAGAGATACATTGCACTGTCATGCTTTAGCTTGTTCTAATTTACAGCATCAGTCTAGATGGCTGTGAATGATAATAAAATAAACAATTGTTATCTACAGTATAGTTTGACAACTGAATGTTTTTAGCAGTGGCAGAGCTGATCCCATTCAAATAAGCAAAACAAACACATCTTAGAATGAAATGTATTCAAATCGCCTGATGATTGATCGCCTAACACCTGTGTGTTTTTGTCTATACATAAAAATTTAATAAGAGAAAGAAAACTCACAGTCCAAAATAAAACATGTTTTATTGTAAAATCATATCAGATATAAACATTCCTTACAGAGGAAGATCATTCAAGTGACAAATGATGGTGTTTGTATATTATTTTGTGAAAGTAAAGTGTTTGAAATGGGCTTCAGCAAAGGCAAAAAGAGGACAAATAAATATGGGACAATCACATTCCCCCAAAAACGACCAACAAGCATGTAGGCAGAAAGCGCTACTGCACACAGATCATAAAAAATACATTGTGATGTTGGTCATAACTAGGACCAGATGAAATCTGAGGGGCCATTTTCTTACCAATTGCTGACAGACATCAACAGAATTCAAATCTTCAGAGACTGCCACTGTTGTCTCTTCCCAATTTGCGCCCTCCCTTGAGGCATGCCTGCATTAGGAAGACGATTAGAGTCAGTCTTGGTGGATTTACATTTTGTTGTTGTTGGTATACACTGGGTGTACAAAATATTAAGAACACCAGCACTTTCCATGACATAGACTGACCAGATGAATCCAGGTGAAAGCTATGATCCACTTCAATTAGTGTAGATGAAGGGGAGGAGACAAGTTAAAGAAGGTTTTTTAAGCCTTGAGACAATTGAGACATGGATTGTGTATGTGTGCCATTTAGAGGGTGAATGGGCAAGACAAAAGATTTACGTGCCTTTGAACAGGCTATAGTAGTAGGTGCCAGGCGCAGCGGTTTGTGTCAAGAACTGCTATGCTGCTGGGTCTTTCACACTCAACAGTTTCCTGTGTGTATCAAGAATGGTCCACCACCCCAAGGACATCCAGCCAACTTGACACAACTGTGGGAAGCATTGGTGTCAACATGGGCCAGCATCCCTGTGGAACACTTTCGACATCTTGTAGAGTCCATGCAGATTAATTGAGGCTGATCTGAAGGCAAAAGAGGCGGGTGCAACTCATTATTAGGAAAATGTTTTGTACACTCAGTGTATGTGTGCAG